TGTCTGTTTGACGGAAGCGTCGCCCGTCTCCGGGCCGGGTCCATGCCATTAAGCCACGTTTTGGCGACCACAGAAAACGTCGCAATAAAAATACAGGGTAAACTCTGTCGCTGTCTCGCTCTGTGGCCACTTTTGTGGTCAATTAACGGCCGCCTTTTTGGCAGCTTTATGCTTTGTTTTGTTATGAATTTAAATGACCCACTGTGTGCCGTGGGCCTCTGGCTCTGCCTCAAGGCGGCATTCAAGCGTTGCGAAGCGCCTGCCCCAACATGCCAGCGTGTGTCGCGCTAAGCTGCCAGCGGCTGGCCAAAAACCCAGCTCACACACGTTGTGACAACACCTGTCGCCGTGAAATTTTCAACAATTTAGCTAATGACTTTCCCAGTCGGGGCTAGCCCCAGCAGGTGTAAAACCCCCATCCCCTCAACCTATGTTAATACCAAATTAATTATATGCCATGCAGTGAAATTAATCAAGTGTAGCGCCAAACCAGGCAAACCAAAATCAACTACACTTTCGACCTGAACTCTATTTAACCCCAAAACAAGCCCCCCCCCTCTCCCTCTACCCTCCTTCGGCACCGACTGGGGGCCATTTCATTAATCACACTCAACACTTGGGCAGGGCTTGAAAGTAGCGGAACGTGCGAGGCGGTGGCGTCTAAAGGGGACAACTTTGAGCTCACTTGTGGCCAATGTCAAATGGTTTTTGGCTGCCCAAAAAACGCTTCAGTTCCTGATTATTTATTATTGTTTAAGGTGTTGTGGGCGGCAATACTGTGGAAGGGGGGCAAGTGGGCCAGGTAGTCAGGTGCAAGCTGCACTTATACGGATGCTTTTGGAAATTAATTGGCAAAGGCGCACATTGAATGTGGGCCAAAAAAATGAAGTATTGGCAGAGAAATTGAGAGAATAGAGATTAGAAGAAGATGAGATACTCGTCATATTAGTTAAAGAAATTTATACGAACGATTTTTGATATGCTAGTTCGATGTTAATAAATAATAAATAATTTGGCAGGAATATAATAAGGCTCTTATAATGAAAGTCAGGTTAGGATATATCAGATGCGGGAAACAAATCTTTGCAAAGTTTCAACTAAAGAATCAACGTCTTCTTTGCAAAGAAAGACTTGGTAGAATCTTCTGTTCAAACTGATCATAAATATATATATATATAGCTTAGAGCCTCTCCCTATGAGCGTTACATATTTCGTGAAAAAAGTGAAAGTACCCTCTGCTAGTGTAAAATTCCTTATATTTACCCTGTAAACAGCACAAACAATTTACGCTTTTTGTATCAGCTAAGACAATTTTGATGTAGCACAATTTAAGGCAGCTGCCATAAAACCAAATAGCATAGATACAAACCAAGGCGCAACTGAAACTTGGCATCCTTATAGCACGCAAGTTATAGCAGTTTTATAGCGCCTAACTGTTTTTAGCTTACGCCTAAAAGTATAGCGAAAACTCTCCAAATTGCGACCAACCGCGTGCTATGAAAACCGATTCAACACAATAGTACGCCACGCAGCCGCTAGAGGGCGTGCTCTGTGTATCACCTGCAAAAAGGTTTTTATCGTTTGCCCGTTTCAGTCGCGCGATCGGCCGCATACGAAACAGGTGAACGCAGCGCACTGCGATAAGTAACGGTAACAGCAACTTTTTTTTTGGAGGGGGGGGGCTTGCAAATAGATAAATAACTAAATAATATTGTTAGTTATTTAATATGCAGCATAAGCGAAATTAGAACTGAAAAAAAAGAAAAACAAACAAAAAGTGCTCAAATAACAATAAAGGAAAATATAAGCAATGCGCCAGTAGCTGTGTGTGTGTACGTGTGCGTGTGTGTGTGTGTGTGCCTATGATAAGATAGCCCAGAAACGCGATGTTTGTGATAACAGCCATATTTGTTAAGACAGTTCAATTTGGCCGGGAGAAACGCATTAGTCACCTGCATCGAGATGTAAATATTCATTCACACAGTGTGCATTCACAAGAAATGACAACAACATTGGGCTGGACATAATGTGGATATCATTAACACGCACAAAATAAGCCTAAGCTGAAGTTAATACTTATCCAAAGAACAGCTCGCTTAGTTTTTTCTCTCTAGAAGATATCTAAGTGAATTATTCACTTGCTCTTGTTCTAGTACAGTAAAACCTCTGTTAAAGGACAGCATTATCTATTTGAGACGCATTGTCAATAAGAAAATAATAGCAAGACTATCTTCTAAGTGGATTATTCGCTTGCTCTTTTGTTTAGCTTGTTGATCTATGCGCAGCATGGTACAGTGAAACCTCTTTTGAAGGACAGCAGGAACCTCCTTAAGCAAGCAGCTCCCCTGTTCCCTTTGCTATAGAGCCAGGCTTTTATTATGAAAGTCTCTTCTTTATTTGTACTTAAAATAGCTTCTTCTCTTCAGAGTGGCTGGAACTCAAGCTTCGCGCTTGAAATTATCTAATTGGGAAGCATTGTTAACATGAAAATAATATCTAGATTATCTTCCTAAGTGAACAGTGAAACCTCTTCCTTTTCTCTAGGTCGAACGCTTTTACTGTTCTTTATCTCTGCAAAAGATTGATGTATCTCTCGATACGGAGGGGGGCACGCTTTCAATTATCTACTTTAATATTGAGGTTATTTTCCACGCCCACCTTCTTGAGTTCTCAGCCAAACAGGAACTGTTTGTTGTTCATCAAACTGAGCTTTTACTGTATGCACATCATATATACTTAAATGTAATAGGAGATATGCTCATATGAGCAGCTTCCGCTCTGACAGACGTTTAAACAGAAATGTGCCAGTGGCAAATTATATAAATTAGATTATGGCATGTTGTTGTTGTTGTTGTTGTTGTTGTTGTTATTTTTGTCATGCGTATATATATATACAAATATGTGTGTGTATATAATGCTTAATTACAGAGGTATATGTGTGTCTATAAGCGGGGCAATCAATCGGTTTAGAGTCCGATGCGGCCAGCGGCGCGAAATATAAACATAAAAAGCAAACATTCGGCTTGCGGAATCCAAGCGCAGCGGCAGCAACAACAACAACAACAACAAGAAAAACAAAATCAACAGTAACAATAACAACAACAACAATAAAAACAGCCCCATCAAATAACATAGAAATTATTACGAATACAAATCGGAAATAAATTCATTTTTGTGCGCGCCTTAAATTACATCGAAGAGGGGGGAGGGGTGCGGTGCGGGTGCTGGGTGCACAGTAAATACTCTTTAAAGCGAATTAGCATTAAACTTTCTTTCGTAGTCTTTTGCTTGGATTAAAGATTAAAGATCTGAAGGTACACTGACAGAAATCTAAAGACATTTCTACTTCGGTTTAAAATAATCCCAATTTTCAAGTTTCCTTTAAGTCAACTCGACTTGAAAAGGTTTTATTGCATATATTGTTTATCGCGAAACGAATTGAAGAGCATTTTGCAACCGTTATTCACCTTCGCCCAGCTGTTCGTCAACCGAGCTTTCACTGTACTCTGTAAAGATTTGCTGCAAAGTAAAAAGTTTGACTACCTAATAGACCTATTTATAGACGTGTACCTAGGCTGCGCTGTTGCGCCAGTTCCCAGCCGGTTTACTGGCTGGCAATAGAAATGGTTAAAAGAAGAAGAAGCAGAGAACAGCTCGTAAATAGCGTTACACAATCCAAAAAAAAAAAACCCTGAGGAGAACTCTTCTATGCGTATTCCCCGAGCTGCAATTAGTCGCCGCGCTGTCCGCCAGGTCGTTGGCCATAAAACTGTTGATAAAAGCCACACACCTGTATATACATATATACATATATATGTGCGATATATATATCTGTATGACAGCTACCCTTCAAACATTTAAACATAACTACAGCTGTGACGTCATGTTGGGACTGCAATCAAATTCGTTTCGTTACAGTTTTGCTTTTATTTAAATTTTTATTTTATCTCCAAGCTCATTAACTTGTACACATGCAATTGTTGCATTGTTGTTTGTTATGGGTGGTTGTTGTTGCTGATATTGTTGCTGATATTGTTGTTGTTGTTGTTGTAGCTACCTGTAGCTATCAGCTGCACACCTTTCACAGCTTACACTCAGCGAGCGGAAGTATTAATAATACATTTTTAATATATTTAACAACAACTACCACACAACTAATCACAATAACAAGAGCAAAGACAACAATTGATTTTGTTTGTAAAGCAGAAAAACAAACAAGTATCAGTTGTCTAGCGAGCAGTGACCGACTAGTAGATACCCTGCTGAGATATAACTTCGATGTTTGTACTCTGATCCTTAATTTTATTTGAAGCCTCTAAATAATATTTGAAGACCCTAAATAATGCTACCAATTGTTTAATTTTGTTGTTAACATTATTAAGATATCAAGATATAAATTGATATTTAACGATAATTATCGATATTATGGAAAAAGGAGAAGATGTCGGGGTAGTATTAAATAACTTCAATAAAAAGTAACATTGGCAAATTGAGAATTTTAAATATTTAACCCGTTTTATGGCTGAGTATAAAACTATTTCGCAGATCCGAATGAAGACAGCCAGATTATTTAATTATTTATTTTGAATTAGATACTTGGTCAATCTTCATTCTTGATTTTTTGCCCAAAACCTTATCAGCGCAACATTGTTCCATTTATTCGACCCCATAAATAGTCAAACTTAAAGCCCATACAACTAGTGTACATCGTTTTTGTTGTTGTCGTAATAGAGCTTAACTAAGCGCAAAGAGAGAGAGAGAGAGAGAGAGAGAGAGAGAAAGAAAGAAAGATAAGCATAGAGAGGGAGAGAAAGAGAGAGCGAGCAGACAATGAGCAACGGACTTGGCCGCTGAGCACCTCCACCTACATTTTCACGGGCAGCTCACCTCCGCTCAGTTGTATACACAACACACAGATAAACACACTCACACACACACACACACACGTTCGCAGCACACACAAAACTTCTGAATCTCTCGCTGACTGTTGACGTCAGTCGCATTTGATAGCCGGCAACAACAGCAGCAGCAGCTGAGGCACAAAACTTGGCCGAACGTGAAGCATGTAAAGGCCACGATTGCCATATGAAGATATGGTAAAGGCCAGGGTCAAGGATCGGACTTAAGCTTTCGCAGGACTACAAAATGTATTCTCATTGCAGTTGAAACTTGAACAGCAGCAGCAGCAGCAACAACAACCAGAACAACATGGCCGCCGGCAATGGAGCAAGCGCCAGCGATCTGGACTGCCAAGTCAATGTGGAGGATTTGCCCATAACCTTCAAGGTACGTGCCGTACTCCAAGCGCAAACAGAGCGCAACATTTTACGAAAAACTTCATGGCGACCATTTAAATGCAAGTTCAGCGCCCCTTGGATAACCCGCCAGCCTCCAATTGCCAGCCGCAATCTACGCTCATCACAATGATACACAGTAAAAAAATGTTGATCCAAAACTAAAGCCAAAATTGCGACTGAAAAGGGAGCTGTCTCTTATAGCCTGATTCCACTATGTTCAAAATATTTAGCAAATATCAATTCAATTTCAAATGTAAAAAATGTGATTTCTTGACTTGATTTAAAAAAATGTAAGAAATTTTGACAATGGAATTAGGCTATTAATTAGGCTTAGCTCAAACTCCCTTTTGAGATGTTTACTTCTTAACTTTTTTCAACAAATCCATCCCATCCCCCTGTGCTTTTTAAGTCCAGTTTTGTGTGTATAAACACAGAAATAATTTCAATTTGAGCCAACATATTTTTTTGCTGTGTATCAAAACAAAGCCAAAATGGTTTTCAATTTAAGCCAACATTTGTTTTTTGTGCTGTGTATCAAAACAAAGCGAGACACGCACTCGTCTCGCTTGGCTGGGCGCAGCCCGAGTCACATGCGCATTTTGGCTGCGGACAGCGCTGACATCCGGTTCGGGTCGGATGCAAATGAAGCGACAGTCTCCGTCCCGTCCGATCCCGGAAGTAGCCGCTGAAAGCATTTGTTGTAACACGCAGTTTTTATTTGCCGCTTGCAGGTCAAATACATTGGCTCGGAGGTGGCGCGTGGCCTGTGGGGCATTAAGTACACACGCCGGCCGGTTGATTTAATGGTGGGCGTGGCCAAGAATCTACCGCCCAACAAAGTGCTGCCCAACTGCGAGCTGAAGGTGTCGACAACGGGCGTCCAGCTGGAAATTATCTCGCCCAAGGCGAGCATCAACAACTGGAGCTATCCGATAGATACGATATCGTACGGCGTACAGGATCTGGTCTACACGCGCGTCTTTGCCATGATTGTGGTCAAGGATGAGTCCAGTCCGCATCCGTTTGAAGTGCACGCTTTTGTCTGCGACAGTCGGGCCATGGCGCGCAAGCTGACCTTTGCTCTGTCCGCCGCTTTTCAGGACTACTCGCGGGTGGTCAAGGAGGCCGCCGACGATGACCAGGACAATGGCAATGCCACGCCCAGCGACGCCATAACGCCCACACGGCAAAAGTTCGCTATCGATCTGCGCACACCCGAGGAGATTCAAGCGGGCGAACTGGAGCAGGAAACGGAGGCATAGCACATACCTCCTATGTGTGTGTCCATGGGTGTCCATGTGTGTGCACGTGTGTGTGTATCGGTGTCTTATATATATTTGTATTATTTCGTGGGGTTCGGGAGTCGCGGAGTCAATTGTGATTGGCCTAGTTACTTATCGTCCAGCTAACGCAGATGCTGTTGTTATTGTACTTCTCTCACCAGGTAGTTGCCTCATACAGCTAATTACCCAAAGCCTAAGCGTAAACGAACTGTAAACAATTGATTTTTTACCTAAAATAAATATTAATATATAAACTAATTGTATAAATAAAATTTACTGTAATACTGTATAAGTTATGAATAAGAGTTATCTAATTGAGCATGATCAGGCAGAAGAAACACTGCCCTTCTCCTCAGCATATATTTAAAATCTATATATAACTGACTGATTGATTGGTCACCGAAACGCTGAATCCTTTACTGTAGTTACCACTTGCTATGACCTATGTATGTATGAACCTTACGAGTAAGGTTTTCACAGGATCTTCGACTTATAATTATAAATCAGAAGTGAAAATCGGATGAGATTTTGAGAAATTGTGACTCATGTCTATATATATGTCTATATCTAGAAGGAAACCCATTAAGAAAAATACAAATCTCGTGAAAATCGGGTGAGATTTGACCGAGTAAGATGTGACCCATGTCTGTATACGAATCTTGGGGTAAGATTTGGACATGAATTTCGACTAAAAAATCGATGTTCAGATTTTAATGCCAGCTTATTCTAGAAGGAAAACCATTAAGAAAAATACAAATCTCGTGAAAATCTGATGAGATTTGACCGAGTTATGGAGGTTGTAAATTTTGACCCATGTCTATATACGAATCTTGGGGTAAGATTTGGACATGAATTTCGACTAAAAAATCGATGTTCAGGTTTTAATGCCAGATTATTTTAGAAGGAAAACTATTAAGAAAAATATAAATCTCGTGAAAATCGGATGAGATTTGACCGAGTTATGGGGGTTGTAAATTTTGACCCATGTCTATATACGAATCTTGGGGTAAGATTTGGACATGAATTTCGACTAAAAAATCGATGTTCAGATTTTAATGCCAGATTATTCTAGAAGGAAAACCATTAAGAAAAATACAAATCTCGTGAAAATCGGATGAGATTTGACCGAGCTATGGGGGTTGTAAGATTTGACCCATGTCTATATACGAACCTTGGGGTAAGATTTGGACATGAATTTCGACTAAAAAAATCGATTTTCAGATTTTAATGCCTGCTTATTCTAGAAGGAAAACCATTAAGAAATATACAAATCTCGTGAAAATCGGATGAGATTTGACCGAGTTATGGAGGTTGTAAATTTTGACCCATGTCTATATACGAACCTTGGGGTAAGATTTGGACATGAATTTCGACTAAAAAATCGATGTTCAGGTTTTAATGCCAGATTATTCTAGAAGGAAAGCCATTAAGAAAAATAGAAATCTCGTGAAAATCGGATGAGATTTGACCGAGTTATGGGGGTTGTAAATTTTGACCCATGTCTATATACGAATCTTGGGGTAAGATTTGGACATGAATTTCGACTAAAAAATCGATGTTCAGATTTTAATGCCAGCTTATTCTAGAAGAAAAACCATTAAGAAAAATAGAAATCTCGTGAAAATCGGATGAGATTTGACCGAGTTATGGGGGTTGTAAATTTTGACCCATGTCTATATACGAATCTTGGGGTAAGATTTGGACATGAATTTCGACTAAAAAATCGATGTTCAGATTTTAATGCCAGCTTATTCTATAAAGAAAACCATTAAGAAAAATACAAATCTCGTGAAAATCGGATGAGATTTGACCGAGTTATGGGGGTTGTACATTTTGACCCATGTCTATATACGAATATTGGGGTAAGATTTGGACATGAATTTCGACTAAAAAATCGATGTTCAGATTTTAATGCCAGATTATTATAGAAGGAAATCCATTAAGAAAAATACAAATCTCGTGAAAATCGGATGAGATTTGACCGAGTTATGGGGGTTGTAAGATTTGACCCATGTCTATATACGAATCTTGGGGTAAGATTTGGACATGAATTTCGACTAAAAAATCGATGTTCAGATTTTAATGCCAGATTATTATAGAAGGAAAACCATTAAGAAAAATACAAATCTCGTGAAAATCGGATGAGATTTGACCGAGCTATGGGGGTTGTAAGATTTGACCCATGTCTATATACGAATCTTGGGGTAAGATTTGGACATGAATTTCGACTAAAAAATCGATGTTCAGATTTTAATGCCAGATTATTATAGAAGGAAAACCATTAAGAAAAATACAAATCTCGTGAAAATCGGATGAGATTTGACCGAGCTATGGGGGTTGTAAATTTTGACCCATGTCTATATACGAATCTTGGGGTAAGATTTGGACATGAATTTCGACTAAAAAATCGATGTTCAGATTTTAATGCTAGACTATTCTAGAAGGAAAACCATTAAGAAAAATACAAATCTCGTGAAAATCGGATGAGATTTGACCGAGTTATGGGGGTTGTAAGATTTGACCCATGTCTATATACGAATCTTGGGGTAAGATTTGGACATGAATTTCGACTAAAAAATCGATGTTCAGATTTTAATGCCAGCTTATTCTAGACGGAAAACCATTAAGAAAAATACAAATCTCGTGAAAATCGGATGAGATTCGACCGAGTTATGGGGGTTGTAAGATTTGACTCATGTCTATATACGAATCTTGGGGTAAGATTTGGACATGAATTTCGACTAAAAAATCGATGTTCAGATTTTAATGCCAGCTTATTCTAGACGGAAAACCATTAAGAAAAATACAAATCTCGTGAAAATCGGATGAGATTTGACCGAGTTATGGGGGTTGTAAGATTTGACCCATGTCTATATACGAATCTTGGGGTAAGATTTGGACATGAATTTCGACTTAAAAATCGATGTTCAGATTTTAATGCTAGACTATTCTAGAAGGAAAACCATTAAGAAAAATACAAATCTCGTGAAAATCGGATGAGATTTGACCGAGTTATGGGGGTTGTAAGATTTGACCCATGTCTATATACGAATCTTGGGGTAAGGTTTGGACATGAATTTCGACTAAAAAATCGATGTTCAGATTTTAATGCCAGATTATTATAGAAGGAAACCCATTAAGAAAAATACAAATCTCGTGAAAATCGGATGAGATTTGACCGAGTTATGGGGGTTGTAAGATTTGACCCATGTCTATATACGAATCTTGGGGTAAGATTTGGACATGAATTTCGACTAAAAAATCGGTGTTCAGATTTTAATGCCAGATTCATCTAGAGGTAAAACCATGAAGAAAAATACAAATCCCGTGAAAATTGGATGAGATTTGACAGAGTTATGGGGGTTGTACATTTTGACCCATGTCTGTATACGAATCTTGGGGTAAGATTTGGACATGAATTTCGACTAAAAAATCGATGTTCAGATTTTAATGCCAGATTATTATAGAAGGAAACCCATTAAGAAAAATACAAATATCGTGAAAATCGGATGAGATTTGACCGAGTTATGGGGGTTGTAAGATTTGACCCATGTCTATATACGAATCTTGGGGTAAGATTTGGACATGAATTTCGACTAAAAAATCGATGTTCAGATTTTAATGCCAGATTATTCTAGAAGGAAAACCATTAAGAAAAATGCAAATCTCGTGAAAATCGGATAAGATTTGACCGAGTTATGGGGGTTGTAAATTTTGACCCATGTCTATATACGAATCTTGGGGTAAGATTTGGACATGAATTTCGACTAAAAAATCGATGTTCAGATTTTAATGCCAGCTTATTCTATAAAGAAAACCATGAAGAAAAATATAAATCTCGTGAAAATCGGATGAGATTTGACCGAGTTATGGGGGTTGGAAATTTTGACCCATGTCTATATACGAATCTTGGGGTAAGATTTGGACATGAATTTCGACTAAAAAATCGATGTTCAGATTTTAATGCCAGCTTATTCTAGAAGGAAAACCATTAAGAAAAATAGAAATCTCGTGAAAATCGGATGAGATTTGACCGAGTTATGGGGGTTGTAAATTTTGACCCATGTCTATATACGAATCTTGGGGTAAGATTTATACATGAATTTCGACTAAAAAATCGATGTTCAGATTTTAATGCCAGATTATTCTATAAAGAAAACCATTAAGAAAAATACAAATCTCGTGAAAATCGGATGAGATTTGACCGAGTTATGGGGGTTGTAAGATTTGACCCATGTCTATATACGAATCTTGGGGTAAGATTTGGACATGAATTTCGACTAAAAAATCGATGTTCAGATTTTAATGCCAGCTTATTCTATAAAGAAAACCATGAAGAAAAATATAAATCTCGTGAAAATCGGATGAGATTTGACCGAGTTATGGGGGTTGGAAATTTTGACCCATGTCTATATACGAATCTTGGGGTAAGATTTGGACATGAATTTCGACTAAAAAATCGATGTTCAGATTTTAATGCCAGCTTATTCTAGAAGGAAAACCATTAAGAAAAATAGAAATCTCGTGAAAATCGGATGAGATTTGACCGAGTTATGGGGGTTGTAAATTTTGACCCATGTCTATATACGAATCTTGGGGTAAGATTTGGACATGAATTTCGACTAAAAAATCGATGTTCAGATTTTAATGCCAGCTTATTCTAGAGGTAAAACCATTAAGAAAAATACAAATATCGTGAAAATCGGATGAGATTTGACCGAGTTATGGGGGTTGGAAATTTTGACCCATGTCTATATACGAATCTTGGGGTAAGATTTATACATGAATTTCGACTAAAAAATCGATGTTCAGATTTTAATGCCAGATTATTCTATAAAGAAAACCATTAAGAAAAATACAAATCTCGTGAAAATCGGATGAGATTTGACCGAGTTATGGGGGTTGTAAGATTTGACCCATGTCTATATACGAATCTTGGGGTAAGATTTGGACATGAATTTCGACTAAAAAATCGATGTTCAGATTTTAATGCCAGCTTATTCTAGAAGGAAAACCATTAAGAAATATACAAATCTCGTGAAAATCGGATGAGATTTGACCGAGTTATGGAGGTTGTAAATTTTGACCCATGTCTATATACGAATCTTGGGGTAAGATTTGGACATGAATTTCGACTAAAAAATCGATGTTCAGGTTTTAATGCCAGATTATTTTAGAAGGAAAACTATTAAGAAAAATACAAATCTCGTGAAAATCGGATGAGATTTGACCGAGTTATGGGGGTTGTAAATTTTGACCCATGTCTATATACGAATCTTGGGGTAAGATTTGGACATGAATTTCGACTAAAAAATCGATGTTCAGATTTTAATGCCAGCTTATTCTAGAGGTAAAACCATTAAGAAAAATACAAATATCGTGAAAATCGGATGAGATTTGACCGAGTTATGGGGGTTGGAAATTTTGACCCATGTCTATATACGAATCTTGGGGTAAGATTTGGACATGAATTTCGACTAAAAAATCGATGTTCAGATTTTAATGCCAGCTTATTCTAGAAGGAAAACCATTAAGAAAAATAGAAATCTCGTGAAAATCGGATGAGATTTGACCGAGTTATGGGGGTTGTAAATTTTGACCCATGTCTATATACGAATCTTGGGGTAAGATTTGGACATGAATTTCGACTAAAAAATCGATGTTCAGATTTTAATGCCAGCTTATTCTAGAAGGAAAACCATTAAGAAAAATAGAAATCTCGTGAAAATCGGATGAGATTTGACCGAGTTATAGAGGGTGTAAATTTTGACCCTTGTCTATATACGAATCTTGGGGTAGGATTTGGACATGAATTTCGACTAAAAAATCGGTGTTGCGATTTTAATGCTAGATTATTCTTGAAGGAAAACCATTGAGAAAAATACAAATCTCGTGAAAATCTGATGAGATTTGACCGAGTTATGGGGGTTGTAAATTTTGACCCATGTCTATATACGAATCTTGGGGTAGGATTTGGACATGAATTTCGACTAAAAAATCGGTGTTCATATTTTAATGCCAGATTATTCTAGTAGGAAAACCATTAGGAAAAATACAAATCTTGTGAAAATCGGATGAGATTTGACCGAGATATGGGGTGGGAAATTTTGACCTATATCATATGTAGGAGGAGGTATAAGGATGTTTGTACGTACGTATATGTCTGTGTGTAGCTTCGCTGCTTTTTGATAAATATTGTATTTAAAAAAAAAACCCTACTATACGATTCTCATAAACTTAAATAAGACTTGCCAGCCTTGCCAGTTAGTTAGTTAGATTAATAATCTTTATATCTGCTGCTACTGTCACTTTAGTTTATTCGCTTGCACTCCAACTATCTCGCTCTCAAGCATTCTGTTTACTTTATTTTTTTAGTAATGTGTTTATAATAAAGTCTCATTTCTTCATATAGGTATCATTTCTTCGTGCGTGTGTGCGGTTTTTGGGTGAGTACATTTTGTTATATTTCAATACATATAAAGAAAACTTAGACCTGGGCTCGGGTAATATCTTTTGTAATATCCTGCCCTATTTAAGAGCTGAGTCAATCTTGCCATGATCGCCAGTTGATACAGTTGATATTTAAAGAGGCTAGGTCGGAATGCCTCCGTCTGCCTATGTAAAAATAACAAATACCTTTCTTTTAAAGTATGTACAGGGTAAAGAATCAGCCTAAAACTGATGTATTATTAATGGCATTTGTTTTAGATATATTTATTGGCTTCTATTAGATTCTCAGCCATCTTTTCTTTGGCTTGCCCCAACCCGTATTAGTTTAGGTCGCTTTTCAGTTGGCCATCTCTACCGTTCAAAGGTTGAATGCCACTAGGAAAAACTCAAACACTCAAACCTGAGCACGATGGAGCTAGCTAACTGATGAGAGATCCGCACATCTGTCTTTGATTATTCCATACATACCTGTCTTTAATTTTTTAATATTTTTATTTAAAGTTTTTCAATTTTTTTTTGTTTGTTTGTCTTGTTTGTTTTTTAACAATGCTAAACTTAAATTTCAACTCTCGTACGAAAGAAATGGCCATAAAACTAGAAAATTCAAAAAATAGTCTGTTAAGCTGCAATTGAGTGGGAACAGCATCGGAAGCCCGGACCTGGGTTTCAAATAGGCTCCGCTGGGCTACCGCTTTTGGGTGCATTTTGCGGGCGGGTGTTGCTTGAAGGAAGAGTCGGGCAACTCCTTCTAACTGGCATCGGCGCGAAAGAGAAAGCGACGCTTGCGTGCATCCATTCTTGTCTGGGACTTGGGCTCACGCACCTCAATCGCCTCCTGCTGGGGTGTCGCCTCAGCCTCGACTTTGCTGACGGTCACCGGCTGGGTTTGCGCCGCGGACATTGCCGGATCCGCAACGGAAACGCGCTTGTAAATGGGCAGAATAGGTTCATCCTCCTCTGCAGCAGCTGGCGCCGGCTCCACAATGAGAGCTGCAGCTGGCGCAGGTTGCTCTTCCTCTGGCTTTTGCTCTGCCGTGCTCTCGATCAGTGTCATGGGAGCAGCAGCACCTGGTGTGAGCACCAGCTCCATGGGCGTCAGCTGCTCGTTCTTGGGATTCTGATCCAAACGCTCCTTGACAAGTTCCACAATATCGTCAATACTGATGGCGGGCATATAGGCAGCGGAGGCCAGACTCTCCTGGGCATCGTCTTGGATTGCTGCTTCTTTGACTTCTGTCTCCTTGGCCGATTCCTCGGCTGCTTCAGGTTCTGGTTCTGGCGCGGCAACCACCTGCACGGGTATTTGATAGTCTGCGGGCAAATGGTTTAGCTGCATAATGTTGATGATGGGCGAGTCCGGTTTCTGTTTCTGTTGTGTCTCCGTTTCCAGCAGCTGCTCCTCGACCGATGCAATCGGATCTACTGTGTCGGGCTCGGGCAGCTTGGCCTCCTCAATGGAAACGGCTTCAGTTTCCTCAATTGCAGGCTTCGAGTCGATCTCTTGATTTTGTGGCTGCTGCTGCTCAACAGTTTCGGCCATGTCCATGGCAGCATTGGCCAACTCAGTCTCGGTTTTCTCCTCGTGGTTACGCAGCGTGTTCAGAAAGTCAGTGATTAGTTGTTCCGCCTCTGCAGCCATGACTGGATCGACAGGCTTGAAGCCGCCAAGAGATTCCTGCACCTCGCTGTTGTTGCCCAGCATCTCTTCCACGAGGGGACTGGGGTTGGCCATTTCTGGCGTAGCTGGCAGGCTGACGGGCGCATCCGCTGGCTTAGCCGCCTCTAGCGCTTCAATATTGTTCAAACTTTCCTCACCGGAGCCGCTGGGCTCCATAATCGCGGGCTCAATGGGACTGTCTGCGGTTACGACCTCCATTTTAAGTTTATTCTCAATCTCTTGTGGCTTTTCTGCCAAGCTCTCGACAATTACAGCTGGAATCTCTGGAATGGCTTCAATGGGCTTCATTTCAAGCATTTGCTCGGGCATTGGGCTAGCTTCCTCCATCGGTTCCTTTAGCTTGGTTTGTTCTGGCGCTGCCTCCGGCTCCTCTGGCTCTGGCTTTGCCTCTAATTCGGGCAGTGCGATAGCCATAACCGGCTCGGAGGCCTGGGCAGCTGGCTCCACAAACATTGTCTGCAGTTTGAGCGTGGGCTGCGGCTCATTGAGCTCCGCCTGGACAACTGCTTCAGTGACCGCTGGCTCTACCGCCTCCTGCACAGGTTTTGCGGTGCTGGAGATGCTGTTCTTGTTGAAGATAGCCGGACGCTTTCGTATGGCATTGAAGAGCTCATTGCGAACGGGTGCGGCAGTTGCAGGCACAACCGGCTTGGGCTTATCCTTGTTGGGCCGAACGCTAAAACGCTGTGGCTTCGGAGGCTTGGACGCCTGCTGGACAGGCACGGCGACGACTTCGGGTTCTGGTTCCGCGATGGCTTCAACAACCGGAGCTGCTGTGGCGACAACGGGCGCCTTTCTTTGCGGCTTGTTGTATACGACGGCAGGTTTGTTGTATGTGACGGCGGGCTTGCGGCGATTGGGCTTTGGCTTAGGCTTTTGCACCTTCACGGGCTTCGCTGGCTCAGGCGTGGCGACAGCTGCAGCGGGCTCCGCAGGAGCAGGCACTTCGCTTTCCTCGGGTTGGTCAGGCTCTTCACTCTCGGCAGTCGCTGCTGCTCCTGGCTTACTGGCGCTCTCCTTCTCCTCCTCCACGGGCAGGCCAAAGTTGCCGTTCAGCTCGTAGTACCTGGAGCTGTCCTCGCACTCAATGGTCATGTCCTCGCGACGCATGCAGGTGAATGATTCCTGCGAAAGGACTTTAGCATTCAGCATCTGGCAGCGCGGGCTAGCGACTAGCTTACCTGACTGAAGATCGTCTCCTCGGGGCAAATGAAGCTCCAGCGGAAGGTGTTCTCCTTGCCGTCCGCGTAGGTCACCGGTAGACACACGTGGAAGATCTGGCAGTCGTTCTCCACATCCGCATAATAGCCATAGGATTTGTTGGCACACGAAAAGTTGTCCGTTATGTCCGCCCGTATGGAGGTGGCATTGCTCGGCAGCGTCAATGTGCCCGTCAGAGGAGCTGCTTCCGCTGCACTGCCGCTGGACGTCATTTCCGGCTCCGCCTCCGCCTCCATGTCGGATTCCTGCACAGCCGGTGCGCTGTCCTCGCGTGCCACAATAGGCATATTCTTTCTCTGCAGAAGAGTTGGGGGTTTAGGCATTAAGACATTGCGATTAGCCCAGCGGCCATTCAGCTAACGGACTACGTGCTCCGCATGCGCAAATCCCAAATGAACGAAGCACGTGACATGATTGCCGGACAGCAGCTAAAGCTATAGCTTTGGCTATGGCTATGATAAAATTTCACTTGTGTTCTAGTTTTTGGCGTTAAGTGAAAACTGAACTGAACCCCACCCCCACCCAAATGCGTTCGCACCTGCGCGGAAAACCTTTTGTGGTCAACGCTGCAATTGAATCCACTTTCGAATGCTTTGCCCGAATGTTATCACATCATATTTTTAACCATATATCGATAGGTTATTTGTTTCATTGAGACACGCATTTCAATGAGCTGACGAGCTTTTAGCCAGGTAACGTTAGGTAGCGTTAAGGGATAGGGGGCTTACGAAACACAAAACACAAAATATAAACCTATAACACACATTTATCTTTTGTCTTAATTCCCTTCGTTATATTCTTTTGCAATTTCTGTAATATATTTTTATTTGTATTATTCTGCTTCTCTTTTTTACTTACCCCCAAATAAAAACCTATTAAACATATTTATTTTATGTCTTGAAACTCTCCGCTATATTCTTTTGGAATTTCTGGAATAGGTTATATTTTCCCAAATTGGAACATATTACACGTTCAATTATTCTCGAAAGCCCTCTTTACGCCCTCCGCTATATTCTTTTGGAATTTCTGGAATATCTGTCTATTTATATTCTTCTAAATTTGAACATATTACACATTTAATTATTCTTGCTATATATTTATTTGGATTCGCCTGGGCCTGAGTGTTGCCAATCATAGTTTGCTTGCCATAAAAGAAGGTTACCTGCAGCTGCCTATAAAGACCTACTCATCTGCTGCATTTAGCCGTTAAAAGGCTAGACGTTTGGCATACCAACTAAGCAAACAGCAAAATGTCTTATGCAAATGCGCCTGCAGACAACTTGGTCTATGGAATGACTAACTCAACTCATGGACGTTCGGGACGCTCGTGTGTGCCATTAAAATTTCAGACTATGCCTGGGCAAGGCGAACATTTCATTAACAGTTTTCCGTTGCCCGTTTCGATATCCGTTAAGAACGGAAATCGTCTGCGGCACTTGTTGCAAGTGCAAGCCAAATCCAACCCACCTGTTGCTGGGCAAGCGGGCCCGCGCTACAGCCAATGGCCAGGAGCAGCATTAGACAGACGAACTTCCACATGATGCACAAACTGTTCATTTATATATCTCTCTCTATATATGTATATATATATCTGTATCTTTATCACTTTTATCACAACAGCTTGCATTTAATTTCAACTTCGTCGCGAATATTTCATGCACATAGTATTCCTTGTGGGTTGTGTGTGTGTGTGTATGTGTCTAATCCAATTAATGTATCCAAGCGTACGCAGATCTCTTTCTCAGATCGATTTGTTTAGACCAAAGCTTGCACTCGCACACCTGTGAGGCACCGTTGGCTTCCAAATACTAACTGCGACCGACGTTCGAATGCGACGCCCAATTTATATATTCTTCGCTTTGATTTATTAAGAATGCAAAAGGTAGAGAAAACCCAACAAACACCACACATACACACACGCACACCTGCACACCTCGTGGTGCGTGCGGCAAAGAAATGTAGGCGACAACAACTACAAAGACAAAGACAATTATATTGTTGTCGCTTCTGCTTCGCAAACGTGACATGGAACTCGGTGGAACGCAAGTTGTGGAATCCAATTTAAAAGCTGAGAGTCGCATAGAATGAGAGACCCCGCAATAAGATGGTCTTCGGTACAGTGATCCTCTAGGGAATTAACTCAGCTATTGCAGTAAGAGGGTGAGATTAGCTTAGATACAAGTCAGGCTGCAAAGTGGAATGACATTATTTGTCTTTCTTTAAGGCGAACCTTTAACGAATCAACTAGAATAGCTGAATATACTTATTTAAGCCAAATCCCCAGCATTACAGCTCTCGGAATTTCGTTCATCTCCTCTTCAAAACCATAGCAATAAGGTGGTCTCTTGTCTCTATTGTTGTTCTCTAGGGAAGTAACTCAGCTTTGGGAGCAGGGAGATAATCGTTTAAACACAAGCCAGGCTGCAATATGGAAATATAAAATTTACTTAATACTTGTGCACATATGCATGAATACATGCATGTATACATGCTTGCATGAATATATGTGCGTATGCATGTTTGCATGACTGTATATATGTATGCAGGCATGTATGTGTGCATGTATGCATGTGTGCATGTATGCATGTGTGCATGTATGCATGTGTGCATATATGTATGTGTGTATGTATGTATGAATGTATGAATGTATAAATGTATGAATGTATGCATGTATGTATGTTTGTATATATGTATGTATATATGTATTCTCATGAAATCAAGTAAGTCTTCACTTAATGTGGAGAAGGCGACAACTATGGAAATAAATATTTATATATAAATACGAATAGATACTTAACATATAATGTTGTTGCTGTTCTCATTTATAGCTATGTATTTTGAAAGCCTAAAATAGAGGAATAAATTCTACTTAAAACAAATATTACTAGAATAACGCTCCCCTAAGGTCCTGCAGGCTGTCACTCAGCTGTGATAATCTATCATGGCAAACTAAGGTGTGTGTCGGCACAGTGAAGACAATCTGTGATAAATTTACTCATTAAGTGGCTCAGATGCTAACTTATTATTATGCCAGGCAGCTTTCTGGACTCACGTTAACAAGATGAACGACATCAGAAAGATGTTAAAAACGCACCGCCGCACTTTGAAGGGCCGCCAGCTGCATTTGGGGGTGTTGGCTAGCGCCAGGCAAATTCATAAAAAGCCAATTGACTCGTTGGTAATTAAAAAGAAATATAAAACGATTACTAACTTGATAATTGTTTATGGCAACGCGCTGTTGCCGATGCCATTGGCCTCAGCAGCTTTCGCTTTTTGCTGAGTGCGCACTGTACGTGATGTCGATAGAACAGCCGGAAAGGGCAAAGGGGCGCTGGGCGTAAAATAAAAAAAAATTAAAAAATAAAACAAAAAAAATAAACTCGTTAAATTAGAAATTCATAATTGACGCGTAATACTCGTACGTGTAGCCAAAGTCATAACTCAAACTATGCGAAATGGTAGCAAACAATTCTAAATTATTAATGCGCCTTAATAAGCCGCGCTTGTTTTGGGCTCTGTGAAAGCACAACAAGCACAGCACGATGATGATATTTCGTTTGTTGCATAATCCTTTGCCTCTCTTCCCACTGGGGTGCCATTGAACCTTCGACGAATTTTTCGATAACTGACTGTAATTCCCGCAGCTCGCCTAAGGTCCCACTTGGTACATATAAAACTGCAATCTCACGTCTTCTTGTCGCTCTCTGGGCAATCTTTCGAGTTTAATCTCTGACAAGGGGCACCCAGTACCAAGGCGTGATTACTTTTGAATAAACATTTCTCAGTAATCAGGCTATCCACCATGCACATTAAGTTCCCGTACAGTAGGCAGTGACATAAATTCGTCTAGAAGTCGAGGCCTTAATTCCAGGCTAGAGCCAGAGCTAGAGAAGCTTTTTCTCTATATACATGCACAAAATTAAACATGTACTTTACCCAGCGGATGTGCTTCTTGTTTTCTTGTCAGCATTCTATGGGAAATGTGTGCTTGACTAACTTCGGTGTCTGAAGTCTGATCCTTGTGAAATTTTCAGTGCTTAAATAGTATATGCTCTAGTGTGCATAAACCAAAGCGCAAGGCCCTAGCTTTTAAAATCTTAAATTCATATTCGTGTGGTATTTCTATAAGGTGTTCAACGTGTTCTCACAGACGGACATGAATATATCAACTCAGTTGATGAAGAATATATAAACCCTCCCCATTATCAATTTTCAACTCATTCAATATATAAAATAATAATAATGAATTTTAATTTCCTATATTTTACGTCTAATCGACAAGCTTCTGACTATGATTGGGTTAGGCAGCAACGCGTTGAACATAGTTATTTTCTTTAATAGCTATAACTATTCAATATCTTTATATGCCTACCAAAGCTGGTAGATGGGCAGCTAAATGGCTGGTAAGTAGTTGTAAGCCCTTCGCGCATGTGCATTAAAATGCCTACATGAAATTTGCGCACTTGGCAACAAAATCAGTTGAAATGCATTTTGGCTGGCTCGCTGAAGGAAGCATAACCAGCAGAAAAGTCGGACCGAGAGTGGGACAGACATTTAAACGTGCAGAGATAAAACCGTTGACAACGGGGCGACGTGTCGGGCAAAAAATTCTACATCAAGTCAGGTGTGGGGCTGGGGCTGGCAGAAAAAACATGACTGGAATTATGATAATCAAATTATGAATAGATGGTATAAGGCGACCGGCAAGGGGGTTGTGAATGTTTCAGGCCAGGGCCAGGCATGGTCATTATTGAAATCCATAGAAATTGGCAGCTCAATTTCAGACTTTGACTTTTCCTTTTGGTATTTATTTTTTTGTTTTTTTTTGTGATTTTACTTAATGCAACGAGAAACACGTGTAACTTTCTAAAATGCAAATCAAAGTGCAAGGGAAATGTCAACGAGCACTTTTCAAATTTTAAAATCAATTGGACGACACGTGGGCGTTGCTGTGACCCACCCCCTTCTCCACCGCCCCCCTTCCCACTACCCTCTTGGAGCCCTTGAAGAATGCGTCGTATACGTGATGCAGTCGCACTTTCTAGTGCGGCACTTAAATTTAATTAAATGACCAACTGACAAACTGACAGCCGCACGTCGCGCTCGCCTGTCGTTTAGTAGAGCAAAGCTCGAAACGCGCTTAGAAATTTTGCACACCTGATCCGCAAGAGGTGAGGGCGTGGGCGTGGCTGGTGGGCGTGGTGCCTCCTAAAAAGGTTCTGGGTTCTGGGTCTTGTTTCGGTTTCTGCAAGCCGCGCACGTTGTCCCAGGATTAACCGTTATTTCACCGACATCCACAGCCGCAGCAGATTCGCCAAACATTCTGCCCCAAGAATTTCAATTGAGTTGTATTTTTTGGCAAACCAAACGAACAGATTGCCGATGGTATCTGCATGATGTATGTCGGCCATTGGCCACACCCACCCCCAGACGTCAATACGGCTGTCGGCCGCCCACTCGCAAGTTTAGAAAGTGCTGAAAACTAAACTATTTCTAGCTGTTCGTCTGTCTTTTGTCTTTTTGTATGGCTTGCCCCCGATCAACATCAATTATGTGGCACACGTTTGCAGACACCTTCAGTGCGAGGCTCCCACGCGGGGAGCAATCGAATTTTTATGGCCAATTTCATTGATTTTAATTTTGCTAATGATAAGCATTTCTTTGCACGAACCCAGCGAGCAGCTCCCTAGCTTCACAGCTCCGATGGCTGCCTCTAGATAAGGCGCATGTTGCGGCATGTCAATGTGTGTCGCTTTTCTGGGCCCGCTGCCCCCGCGTTGCATGTTAATGCCCGGCCGAGCTTTTCTTTCAATTAGTGCACTCGCCCAGGCCCAGGCCGAGTCCGAGTCCGAAGTCTGCGCGCTTTAAAGAAGGTCAATATCAGTAGCTGGCAACAGACGTGTCAGAATGCGTGAACCCAACTGGACCCTTGTTCACTTTCTTTTTGGGGGAGAGACTCCTCTATTTCCGCTGAGGGTCGCTGTCAATCGATGTCAATCAATTGTTGCCTGGACATCAATTATTGTCGACAATTTATTAGCCATAAATTGGCTACCCCCGCGCTTGTTTGACGTTTGTCAAACACACATTTAATTGGCAAACATTTTTCGCCAGCGTCGAAAAACTTTGTGTACTCAGCATTTGAGGCACGCACCGCACATGCGCGAACCTGCGACACCGGGGACACCCATCGATCGCCGTTGTCTTCTCTAGTTACTGGAGCACGTCGCACCTATTTGGTATTACGGAGCGGTGCTCCGTACTTAAATTGGGCCACAAATTAGAATCAGGCGCACGGCCGCACAGGTGAAATTTCGAAAAATTCCACATAGAATTGACCGCATTCTAGCCCCATATTCTGTGTGCTCGTGTGCAAATTATCTATGCATCGATTACCACAGGAAGTCAACACCCAGTTCTTTGTTTTTCATGTCAGGCAATTGCTTGTGCGCGCTTTAAAATAATGCGCATAAAGCCAGAAAACTATTTTGTAAAAATTATCCCTTTGAGCGTAGCTGAACAACACATCTTCTAAGTCTATCGAAACAATTTACCTTCTTGGGATCTCTTCTAACTAAGCTTGTAAGGTTCCAAGTTAAAAATTAAAATTTCAAGCAAATTAATGTTGATAAATATATATTCTGGGGAAACATCGTTTTCAGTTTGGGATTTCTTTTTGCTAAGATTGTCATTGAGCACAAACGCTTGAGCATCAAATTTTAAGATTCAAGTTAAAAATTTAATTTGATTTTTAATTGAGTGGAAGGTACTTTTCAAGTTTAAACTTTTCGCAATTCATATAGATTTTTTACCGATAAATTAAACCCCTCAGAAATGTTATCTTAAACATTTCATAAATATTTCTGCATGGGTTCATAGAGATATAAGAGATATATAAGATATAAACATATTCATTTTAAAAAATCAGCAAATAAATTATTTCGTTCGCATAAACTTTCTATCTAACTGATACCAAGTTTTCAAACAGTTTACAATTATTAAAGTTTTTATTATGCATCATAACATAAAACATACGAGTAAAATAAATAATTCAAATAAATTACTTAAGGCTAACTACATCAGCTTAATATTCAGCAAATATTAATATTAAAGCAGAAATATTTACTGCATTGGTTTTTTTAAGTAAGACTAAAATTTAATATACATGTTAGGGCATTGCACTAAAGTCAAATAAATTTCTACTAATGCGGGGTTACAGCTACAATTGGTTTACTGGCATTTGGGCTAAAATTAATTTCGAACTAGGACTCTAGGGATTATTTAATAATCAGCGTCATAATACGATGCAAGTCGAATAAGTAGGTTATATAAATAATGCTCCATGGGCACATTCACTGCCACTGATATTGATTGCGATAGGCCAGATAGTGGGGATCCTGCGTCTGCTGCAGCTGCTGCTGCTGCGGTCTGACCTGGTAGCTGTCCGTGGAGGAATCGACCTCCTCAATGGATGGATCCGTTTGCAGGGAACGCTTCCAGTAGCTGCCGCCCTGCTCGCTGCCCCAATCCTCGCCATGGTCCTCGTAATGGTGCTGATGATGAGCATGTTCGACATAGACAACCTAGTTAGAAATGATGCAAATTGGGCGTGAAGTGAGAAACACCACAGGAAATACCAAAGAGCCCAGAGTGTAAGAGCTGTGTGGATGGACTGTTTATTGGGCGGGGGGGCGGGGATATATTTTGGGAGAAGAATATTTATGTGTGTGCGGACCTTTGGTTGGCTGTCTTTCAGCTGCTTTTAAAGGCATGTTAGATGAGGGGAGGGCGAGAGCCACGCCCATACTTACACAGTTGTGGGGAACATTTTGGATACGCTACGTAAATATTATTGTATATTTTGACTGGTTTTTAGTTATGGGAATCTTTTGAATTTATTTACTGATTATTGTGGTAGCTGTCCAAAAATTTTACCATATCTGAAACCAAAGAGGTCTGAATATGTTAGCATACGGAACATTTTGAGGTCTGTAATTGTTTGGAACTGTTGTGGAGAAATTTGTAAACGGAAACCGCAGCTGGAGTGAAACAGTTAAAACGCCTTGGATCTGTGTACGCAGTATTCCATATCTATATACAATATGTTTTCGGAGTATACAGGGAAAGGGATAGAAAGAGTAACAGTAAGTGAGTGAGAGAGAGAGAGTGAGTCAACAAATGTGGGAGGCGACGTTTGTCAAAAACATTTGCTCATACATAAGATTAAGATTAACAATTTCACAAAAAAGGGTGCAGAAGATCCGTTTAGAACAGGAAACATTTTGATCTCATAACCCGAACGAGATGTTCGTGTGCGATGCAAAACAAAACAAAAACGAAACACATTTGTAACTAGCCCATCGGGTGCCTTTTAACTCACCTTGGACGGTGTTCCGCCTCGCTTGACATCTATCCAGAACCGGGCGATATTTATCAGCAAGCCGATCAGGGCTATGGCAAAGAACTTCACTTGCAAATGGGCGCCCAGTATTTTCAGCAGCAATTCGATTTTGGCCTTTAGCAGGGAGCCAATTAGCACCAGCTTTGCGTATGCCTTCCTCTTCTTCTTCTTCTTGCCGCGTGTAACTGTGAATCAGGTTAAAGTTCGATTAAAATCGATTTGAATATACGAAACCAACCTTATGACCAAGAAAAAAGAACGCATCGAAACACATAAAAACGATTTAACGATATTTATCGCTTGGGAGGGTGGTGTTTGTTAGTATGAACTGCAGTGCGCGTAAGTGCGTTAACGATAACGATAACGATAACATAACGATAACGATAACGATAACACAAAGGCATTCGAATCAAGCAGGGAATATGAACAATACAAATTACACTTAAACTAGGTACGGGTAAATAATTTATGCAAACGAAAGCGCAAATATTGGAAGTAAGCTTACATACATTCATCTTGAATTGAAACATAAATTATTTGTCCGTTAAAAGGCAGCTTAAAAGTAGCTTAACGTTTACGCGCTCTGTGCACAGCTGAATGCTATGACACTTCGACGCACCGACACCAAAGCGCGCTGCTTGCCAAGCAGCGGACATGCGTTGTGCATGTCTGCCTGCTATGACACGCGCCTGCATGTTATTTTATACGCTTGCAGAGTTTCTTATTGTTTTCTTTTTTTTAACTTTTTACTATTATTATTTTGTGGAGAAGTGTCTTCAATTTGTTTTACTATTAATCTTTTGTGGATAAGTCTCTTTTGTTTTTCCCACGTCTCTGATTTTTCTCAATTTCTCTGCAAGTGTACTTATCTTTGGCATGCCAAAGTCTTAACTTTTAGGAGCTTATACTATTGATAGATAGGCACTAAAGTGTGCTTAGGAAATGGTGCGCTAAATTCATTGAAAACCACACGCAGCAAACAACACACACCTCCGTTACTTCTACCATATTTAATCGGGTTCTTATGCTTGCGCTTTCCACCGCCGCCTCCGACGCCGCCGACGCCGACGCCGGCATCGACCAGATCGTCCAGCAGACCGATGCCCAAGGGATCGCTTGTCTCCTCCTGGACGACCACTTGCGACTGTTGACCCTTCCGCTTGCGCTTGCCGCGCTTGGTCTTGCGCTTGAACGGCCTCCCGCCACCTCCGTGTCCGCCTCCTCCTCCTCCTCCGTGGCTGACAACCTGCGTTTCGCTGTCGTGACCGTCATCCACTTCATGCTGCTCCGGCGCTGCCTGCACCACAACCAATGTGGCTGGCTGTTGTTGCTGGCCCTTCTTTTTGCGCTTGGTCTTGTTCTTCTTGCGTTTGCCGCCGCCGGGTTTCTTTACTGCACCCGCCGCATCTTCGGCGCCATCCTCGAGCTCTATGAACTCGACGGCGCCGGATGTGCCATCGTCGCTGAACACCGAGGTTTTCACATCGTTCGCCGGCTGCGCATTGCTCTCGGCCAGACTTTGAGCACTTTCATTTTCTGGCTCGTCCTCTGCCTCCGCCTCCGCCTCCGCCTCGGCTTCCGCTTCATCCTCCTCGGCATCGCTCGTTTCCTGATCGCCGCTGTTGGAGGCATCATCGTCCGTCTCATCCTCGCCGCTGTTTTCGACAGCCGATTCCGCCTCCTCGGCATCCGTCTCCTCATCATCGTAATCCGCATTTTCACTATCATCTGCCGCCGCTTTCGGTGACTGCAGATACTCGTACTCGCGGCCAAGGAAACTGCGCCCAAAAAAAAAACAAAAAAAAAAACAAAAAAAAGAGCAAACGAAAGAGAAGGAGAAATAGAGTTAGGAAACCGGAAAATGTTAGCCCAGCTAACTTGTTGGCCAGTTACCCACCCGTCCATCGTCTCGGCGAGATACTCCTTCATGTATTTGGTGCCGATCTCGATTTTCTTGAGCAAAGTCGACGGCTTCTCTTTGATGGGCAGCTCCGAGGCGCTGTAGCCGCGTCTCTCGATCGTCGCGTTCAGCTGCCGATCCGCTTCGACTGTGGCGAAAATGGAAAATATTTATTTTAATGTTGTCCAGAGCACAGACTAAAGAGTTAAGATCGAAAGCTCGGAATTATTTGCCGCATAACTACAACTCAAGCAGACGAACCTTTATATAAATGGGTGCAAATGCAAATGCACCTGAGTCTGGCTAATCTTTGGCAATTGGCAAGTTTCACTGGCTTTGATTTTCACCCGAGCGCATAAATCACATGTGGGAAAAGCCTCGCTTGAACCTAATTAACACCTCTTTCACCTGGTCGATTAGCGCGTCGCTCACCTTTCAATTTTTGCCACTGCAAATGGAGTTCATCGTCCCAGACGTCCAGAATCCTGGCCGACTTCTGCCGGGCACAGCCCCAGGGCTCAGCGCGTATGGGACACAGCGCCAGGTCCAGATACGGCGAGATCTCTGAAAATGCAAAATACATATTAAAACTTAATGTAGGCAACATTAATGTTGCTGCAACAAAAAATCAAGTTGACATTGAGTAGTCTCTGCTAAAATTGTTCAAAAAGGCCTAAACATATTTGGCTATGGAATTTTTGGAATTTGATCTAATTTGGTTAGCGTATGGTTTACGATGGCCAGCTTTTCCAACTGTAAACATTTGAGTGAAAGTACGCACAGCCACTGACCAGCAACAACAACAACAAGTGAAGCACTGATAACACCTTGTGTGGCAATTGTTAGCTCTGCCGCTCATCCATGCCACCACCTGCAGCTGCAACATTGTCTGCGGCGCATGCCGCATGTTTAAAACATGCTTATTGCTGATTTCTAACCAAGTGAAAATGTGCAAAGCCTCACAATTAATCACAACTTAATTGCGGCACTCGATTTTAAATTCAATTGACAACCAATTAAGTTGATTGTTTAAATTATAATTAAACCAGCGCTGACCTGCCGGGCATCATTTGCCACACTTGCAACGCTCTGTCTGTGGCAGGCTGCTTGTAAATTGAGCAATTATTCGTATACCCTGCAGGCATTTAAAATGAGTAAAAAGGGTATAATGTTTTTGTGGAAAGGCAGAGGTAGCTAACTACGAAATATGGTAAATATATATATATATATTCTTGCATGTCCACATGCATGTCCACATGTTCGCATGTCCGCATGTCTGTCTGTCGAACGGAGCTCCTCATGCCATTATTGGCTGATCTGAGAAATTTTAAGAACTAGATATATCATATTTAGTAAGGCAGAGGGAATTATTCGATTCAAGTACTTATAAAATGTAGGGAAAAGAATTTCTTCAAGTTAAGTCGTGGGTTATATTTTAATCAGGGTCTACGCTGGCTTCAAAGCCTGTCCCTAGTCGGTCATACCCGTTTAATACACTCTTACTTATTTTTATCTCTTATTATGAGTGTGCCTAGGGGGTGCTCAGGCTACACACAATGCAACAAGCTGTCACCTGGCTGCCTTTTAATTGCCCCACATCAGGCGATGCTACTGCTGCTGCATTTCGCATCCAGTTGCAGGTTGCAGCTGTCACAGCTCCAAGTCGTGATTAGTGAAAATGGCAGCACATGAAGCCTAGCATATTTCACTTTCAATAGGCTGTACTTTGACCCAAACGGCAGCCAATAATGTCATTTTGTGCAGCATTCAATGCCAGGTGAAAGCTGAAATCAATGGGAAATGCCGCAGCTCGTGTGCGCCTAGGATCTGGCATTGTGAGAAATTGTTTGTTTTCCCTCTTGTCGTCGTGGTGACATCCAACAGATAAAATCCTTGTACTGTCGGCAACCCACGCGGCATCCACTGCGATTCCCTGGCGAGCGTCTGCATGTTTGGCATTTGCCAGCGCTTTGTTTGGCTGCTTACAAATGTGGCACATTAAGCCAGACCCTGCTCTTGGCCACTTTTCTGGCTACCCCTGCACCCACCCCCTGCCCAGCCAGACCATGACCAAGAGCCCAAGACAATGCCCATGCGCTGGGCTCGAGCTAATTTCAGCTACACTTTTTTTTGTACTTTCACTGCAATTGAAATTTATGCGTGGCCCATGGTTATTATACATTGGCTGGCAATCGCATGCATTCGGGGGCGTGCCCAATGAGCCCGAACTTGTCGATGGGTGACGCGTTTATTTGCATGTCCACAATCGTCTGGGCCCATTGACTGGCCACTGGCCAACTGTAAACGCTGCCCGGCTGCTGGGCATCTGGGCCAACTATCAACTGGCAACTGGCGACTGCTAACTACATAACTGTGCTGTAAATCTCATTTATCTATGGCCATTGGCTGTCCATAACAGTAGCTCATAAAATATTAGCATAATCACGAGAAATTCTACAGATATTGTAGATATAGTTGTAAAGTTAAACGTGCCCTGGGTGGCATTCGAAAGTGAAATACGCGTTTATTTTACGGAGTTCAGTTTATTAGTCTGGCCAGATTAAGTCGTTAAGTTCATGTACATTTTAATATTGAGTAAAAGTAGAAGTGGCCTATGCAGGCCAGCATAATTTGCTGAATTATTCAGTTAGTTAGTCTGCCCAGATTAAGTATATATATTCATGTACATTTTATACTTATAAATTGCGTTTTTATATTGAGAAGGGGAAGTAGTTAACTTAATTTAATCCCAATTTGTTGAATTTGTTGTCATATCACAGACAAAGCCCTACAATTTCATTACAATTCAAATGAATTAACTCAAACTACATTTTATGAGATAGTAGTTGATTTAATTCTACAAAAAAAAAAGAAACCCATGCAGACCAGCACATTTTGTTGAAGTTTTTATGATATCACACACAAAGCCCACCAATTTCTATTCAATTCAAATAAAATCTGTTCGTTTTTCGGCTCTTTCAATTTCTAGTTTAGACTTTTTAGAACACAACCTGTGTGGAATAAAAGAAAGAATTCTTCGCCATAGAAACTCGTCCCCCTCCGAGCCAAACAACAACACACTCACTTTGCATTACCGTTAGCCAAGAAATGTGTGTGAGTTGTGCCGGGGCTACCCGGCTACCACGGCCAAAACGCTCAATAAACTTTCACTGGTTTTCGATCTGCGGCGTTCGGTTTGAATTTAAGACGCGTAAAACGAGATATATGTACGCAAATCTGAGACATTTCCAGCTCTCAAACCATGTCACTTAAAACGCACATCACAGATCCCCTATGGAAGGGGATTTGAACTGGCATCTGGGTATATGGTATGGTATGGTCTGGTGTCTGTTGCCTCTGCCCATTGTTGTCCGGCCAAAATGGGCAATTGGCGAGTCGAGCGAGATGCCAGGCGAGCAGCAATTAAAAAATGAAATTTGATTTCATTCCGTGGACAACACTTTTAATTTTTGCTCTTGCCATTTTTTTTTTAATTTTTTATTTGCGGAAAAATGCTGTCAATGCCGCCTGTTAAGACGCGGCCGCAGTTTTGTCTTCAGTTTTTCCAGTGGCAACAGCAACAAGCTAACCAGACAAGACAAGCTGTAACCACATTTATACACACCTAGTCGCACACACACACTCCTATCTCAATTGACGGTTATAACCCAAATCTGAGCAGTTTTCTGGTTGTTTTTGGTGTCAGTTCCCCCCCAACAACGCCTCGATTCTCAGCCGGCCTCAGTTTATTGTCTTTTGTAGTGGACAACCGAATCTGGCACCATATAATGTCTTGACTAAGATATCAGCCTGTTTTCTGTTTTCTGTTTTCTGTTTACATTGCGTTGTTGTTCTCTTTTGTTGTGGGGCATAACAACTTGCACATGAGCGAAGCGTATCGATGATCAGTTTATGCTCAACAAATACCTGTTGTAAGGCTAACAATTTGTGCCAAATTGATTGCAATTAAAGCTTATCTACTCGATTATTGGCTTGCTTATCAGTCAAGAAAATACGTATAACAAATATAAAATGCTTATTGGCACGATCTTGGAAAGAAATGAACTTAATAAAAGACACAGACTTATTAGTTAAGTTAATTTAACTTAAGTAAACAACACTCTGTCTGATTTGATGCACTCTCAAACATAACCCACTAAATTTTCCTTTTTTGCCAGAGTATTTCAAGTTCGTTCTATAAAAAAAGAGCGTGTTTTTGTCATGTGTTTAACTGCGTGTACTTTTAATGACTTTACATTATGTGCACCCTTTTGACAGCTCAAGCGTCGGACCGTGTAAATAATGGTGTGTTTTAAGCGCTCAACTAGTTCTAGTTTAGTTATAAGTCTGACCCATATTACATGGCCAAGGTGCTTGCAATTTGCTTTTTTTTTGTGGCACTTGTGGCGCAGGTGCAGGCCGCCCGGCTAATTGCTCGCTTTGCACACCTGAAGCAGAACAGAGCCGAGCCAAGACGAGTTGCGAGCAACGAGCATGTCACCTGCTCCATAAACGCAAACCCTTTCCTAACAATGTTCCTGTTCTGCTGCACTGGCCATGAGAGTCAGCGTTAATTAGGCATAAAGTTGACAACTCGAATTGATGTCGTCTGCCGGCTGTCGCCTGTCAATTGCCACAGCCGACATCTATCTATTTGAGCCGTATTTGGTATTCAGTCTGAGAAACCCATCTGCGCTCAGCTATGATATAATGGCTAGTAAACTTCGTGCGCTCTCACATTTAACTTAATGAGCCAAAAATTTCACTGCAATAAAAAAAAGTGCTTTTGATTGTGTTTTGTTTTGCTTTGCATTTTAAACAGCGGCCCATTGCGCATTACTAAATACAAAAGAAATATGAAAAGAAATTGGACAAGAGCTGAGTCAGTCACCAAAAAAAACTTGGCAACAAACCGAATGAATTTGTGCATCCAGGTGACTTGGCATAACTTACCATTTAGTTTGCGTGCAGCAGGTGCCACAACTGGCGACCAGGCCGCAGCTGGAGCTGGTGCTGGAGCTGGGACGGACGCGGGCAGGCTCCAGGCATGCGTCAGTGTAAATGGCAATGGCAAACATAGCAGCAGCAAGAGCCCAGCTGAGCCCGCCGAGTCCATTTTGGTTAGAAACTAACTCAAGTCAGCCGTTGAAATTTCACAAATACAGATACAATATATGTATATATATATATATATAGATAGATAGTTACAGACACAGATGGAGTTGCCGTTAAATCTTTTACAAAAGTCTGTTCTGATTTATGTACACTGCTCGACACGCAAAGGCACAACGGATCTTTGTTCCATTTTCTTATTGAAAGAAGTCGTCACCAAAATCGCCACAATTAACGCACTTATAAATATTCAAATATTCAGCTGCGCCGGCGCACCGAATTCAGCTCACACTCTACCTAGTCCTCTGCGATTCGATCTTAACACGACCAAGTTCAAGGTAGGATTGAGCCATGACGCGCATACGTAAGAAGTTTTATACCAAACGACTCCGACAAGTCTCGAGCCTAAGAGCGCAATGTGAAAGCTGTTGTGCTCTTTGTGGAAAGTGAGCAACGTGCTGCGGCAAAAGAGCCCAAAAGAGCAGCCGCAATGTTTGCATGTTGGTTTTTGGCCGTTTTGCCTTGTGGATTGTGGCCTATGTGCGGCATCCATGTTGGCCAATTGGCTTAATTAAGCTGTCCCCTAATGGCATATCGAGCGTCACGTTAAATGATGTGGAAAACATTTAAACCAAAGAAGCAGCCCGTACTTGGTGACTCTTGAGCAAATTGTGAGCATTCCAACTTGTACTCAAAAATGTACTTTATGTAAATGAGTTTGTTCCGATTGATTGAGTTACTTATTGACTGACTGGACGCGACGATTGGACGCGACTCAAGGTGCCTGAGCTTCGGACTAGTAAGCGAGAAGTCGCTGGTTCAAATTGAGCAGCAATATTCTATTTGTATATGTTCTTAAATTTAATTCTCTTAAATTGATATAAAATACTATGATACTATGATGACAATAATGGATTAAAGGTGTCTAAGTGTCGAACTATCTAGCGAAAAGTCGCCGGTTCAAACTCTAAGAAAAATACTTAAATTTAATTTCTAGCCTGAAATGGCAAATGAAAACGAATTAATATTTTATTCATAATAATGTAAAAACGAAATAATACTTTATTTATAATAACATCATTAACAATTTCCATGCTATTTGCATTTTTTACATTCATTTGACCTGGTTAATTTCTTCTAGTTTTAAAATATAAAGTGTCCAAGTAAGATCTTTAACTAAACAAAAAAAAAAACTTCTACATATTTATTTCCAACAATTACACAAATCACCAACTTAACCTTTTCAGCTTACAGAGACTGGCCCTTGTCAAATTTTCACTTAACACCCGTTTAGACGACGTTCACATTGCGTGAATTATTTGTTAATTAAATTAACATCACGTTTACGCAATGCCAAGAGTTGCATCATTAACGAATTCTGTGCTGCCCACAAATTTTCACCATCGAAAATGAAAGCTTTCTAACTGTTTGCCCCACAAAATGAGGCGTATTATTTTTTGTTGTTGTTGTTGTTCTTGTATTGACCCCAACAATTAGCAAACTAATGTGATTTGTGTGTAGGGTCTGGCCCAGCCCTAAAAAATGTGGCGTTGTGGGCGCAGTCTTCGCCTTAGGCCCAGTCCAGTTAGCATCGAATTGTAGTGCGAAGTTATTTCATTCGCTTCAATTTAGACGCCTGTCACTTTTGATAAGGTGACAAAATGAAAGTTGCGAAAAAATTAAAATTAATAATAATTATGGGGAGGCTTCATTAAAATTGGGTGTGCTGACAACAGGTGAGGCGCTTTGGCGATTACGAAATTCCGAAATTGATAAAATTAGCAGGCCAAGCACGTGGTGCCGTCAACGTTTATCAATTTCACTTTCAAGCCAAGATGCGACTGCCAATTAAAAAGGAATAGGGCACCCCGAAGATGTTGTTGACGATCTGTCAAAGGTAAACGCTGCCAGACATCCCCTTATGTACACATGCCACATGTCCAATTATCATGTTGCAAAGAGAGTGAGAGCCGACGAATCTAGCTGGCCCAGTCCCAGTGTCACCATAGACATAGCCATTGCCATTGCTATTGCTGTCTCCATTGTCGTCCCCTGTCAGCTGCAATTATCCACATTTTGAGAAAACAAAAGCTGCCGCAGCCACAGTAGCGGCGGTTGGCTCATGATTTGTCTGCAAACGGCAAGTGGCTAAAAGAAAAACCTTTGTCGCATTTCAATAATCGCATTGCCAATGCCTGCTGATGCGTTAGAAAGCAGTGAAATTTATGTGATCAGCCAACTGCGTCTCAAAGATTTGGCTGCAGCAACTTGTAATATATAGCTACGCACTTCTCCATACTGGCAACACGAAAGAATGCATCCAGTGCAGGTTGCTCCACTCTGCGAATACCGTGTAACAGTTGCCGTGTACAAAGCTAACATATTTAGGCTGATCGAAATCGCTGGCTTATACCTTATACATTGGCTCAAATTATGAAGGGAAAGAGCCCAAAGAGCCCATTAATAACATTTTAAGATTTTAATAAAAACCAACTTCCATGTTTTATAATATTGATATGTTATATAAAGGCTTGATTTCAATATGATCAAGAACAAATCGTTGTCAATAACCAAAATAATTAGTTAAGATAAAGAAAAAGGCGTTGCGGGCAGGTTCATAAATCGGCACAAGTTGCATTTACCAACTCGCTAGAGATACCCAGTCCTACCCCTCTTATGCTTTGTACAGGGTGTAACTATTACTAGCGACATTTTTTTTTATTTAGCACTACGACTAATTAATTGGCGCGCTTGCCAGCAGCTCTGCAAAAGGCCAGACCGCTGAGCATTTTACGTTTTTAATTAACAGAAGCCAGAGACAAAGACATCAGGTAAGCGGCCAACAGTCAACATTCGATGAGGAGCGACCGTCAGCTGGCTGCACTCGCTGACAAGGACAAGTCAACTTCAAGAGCCAGTTGCAACCTGTCGGCAGCTTGGCCTGCAGATCGCTTGCCGTTGTCAGTGGCATTAGCGGCGTTGGCGGCGCTGACAGGCTTCATATCACTCAGATCGTCTTGGATCAGGTTTGACTCATGACATGCCAGAGCCATGGCATGGCCAGCTTTAATTGTGCTGAAGTCGATAAATATTTATCGGTCAAGTCGAAATACGGCGTCATTAATTTGTTACACTTGTCAGTTAAGTTTTTCTAAATGAATTGTTTCTGGTCGCTTGCCACATTTATTTTGCTTTCAATACAAGACGCATGCCACGCACTGGCCAGAAATTTTAATTATGCTTAATTAGTGTGGAATATTTAGTTACTGACGAGTTGTCGTTTGCCATTGGAGGCCTATATTGCAAGGCCATTTTATACGCCTTGTGTTTTAAGAAAATGCACACACTTGAAACGAAAGACTTAAGGCACAAACTTGAATTCATTGTATGTCTTACAAAAATGTTGCATACTTTTTAGCGCAATTTGTAAAAGTTTTTTGAATCGGGCTCTCAACATACTCAAGCATACTCTTGGACCGACAGATAAAGTTTTAGAAGCTCTGACATTTTTGAAAAAAAAATGTTGCTTAACTAGCGGGTATACCCGGCCTCGCCCGCGGCACATATAATATAAAATAATAGAGGTTCCACCAATGTCTATATAGGATATTTGAGGGTAGCATTTTTAAATAAATTTTGAATACAAATAATTTTAGATTAAGATGCCAAAATGATTTATACACCAAACCATGAACAAAGAACTAAACTTCGTGGAATTCGGATGAGATTTGACTAAGTTATAATATATAGAATATTTGAGTGTAAGATTTTGACATGAATTTCGACTAAAAATCATGTAATTAGATTTGAATGCCAGATTAATTTAGAGGAAAAACTATGTACAAAAAGGCAAACCCCGTGAAAATATGATGAGATTTGACCGAGCTATGGGGATGGGAAATTTGGACCTATGTCAAACAGTTTTCTGTATAGATGGGAAATTTTGACCTATATCAATCAATTTTCTGTATAGGGAACTTGCCTAAGCATTAGGCATTTAATTGAATGATCTGCGTCAACGTTTATTTACCATTCCAATCATTCGTATACCTTGTAAAAGCATTTAATTAGAAACTTTTTTCCATGGACCGCTCAATAGATATTATCTGAATAGTTATTCATGTATCTCCGCCCGCGCCTCTTACAAATCGCAGGCCCGCAGAAGCTATCGTCGCTGAACGTAGTCAAATTTGAAATGTTTTTGGCTTTTTGGCGTACCTGAGACTACCGTAAAAACAATCACATGAATGTGTTCACACACATGCAGTGCCATGACTTTGACTTCCATTTCAATGTTGGCGATAATGTCGATGATTAGGCAGCAAAACGTGAAGTCAGCACACGCCCATTGTTGAGCCAAGTCCCAAAATGAAATCGCAGCGGTGGCAGCATGTCAAATGCCCAATTAATCACATGCCCCACAGCTGCAGACGAACTGGGAGCCGACTTTCTTCACACATCAATCACAATCGTAGCAGCTGTCAGGCAATGTTGCTAATTATGTCAGCTACCCGAAAATGCCAAGTAAAGCAACAGCCTTCTTTTGGCTACTTTTTTTTTTTTATTATTAATTTTACATTTATCATAAATAATTTAAATAGATTATCAGTAATCGTCTTAAGCCTAGTTACAGCAAGCTAATTTAATTCTCTCCTACTTTCAACTAGTTCTTCTAAAAGTAGTTTATGTAAAGCTGCGCACCCAAAAAGTCGCTGACTAAAATTTTACACGGTGGTCATTGGCCGAAGGTCAGAGCCGCTCAGCGTATCAGGCTGCGCGCCGGATACTTCGTAGGCAGCAGCGACATCGGATCCGTATTGTTGGGCACCTCAACTGTGTGCTGATCCTGATACTGTCCGGTGGGCTGGTAGGCACTGTAGGGATCGGAGCGGCTGGCCCAGCCGCCCTGCGTCTCATAGTTGTAGCTCTGGCCGGCCAACTGTGCCTGGGTCTGGGCATTGCCGTGTATGTGTAAATGAATCTCCTTGCTGGGATGATGTGGTC